GGGAGGCTGAGGCAAGAGAATCGCCTAAGCCCAGGAGTTGGAGGTTGTTGTGAGCTGTGTGATGCCGTGACACTCTACCAAGGGCAGTAAAGTGAGACTCTGTCTCTACAAAAAGAAAAAAAAAAAAAAGAAAGAAAAAAGAAAACCAGATTTCCCTCCTACGGTGGGTTATAGTGGAAACCATGTATCAATCTGGTTTTAAGAAATTTTCAGCAAAATATATTTTTTCAAGAATTGTTTCAAGAAAAATAGTATAAAATTTTAAAATAGAATCTCTGTAAGTTGACTGCCCAAGGCACTGTAATGAACTAGTCAACATAGAAAGGTGGTCAACAAGTGGTCAACATCCATTGAGTATATTTGGTGCATGTCTGGTCTATGAAAGTTAGGTCAACTTAAGGAAGTGGTCATTTTAGGCAGGTGGTTAACTATGGAGGTAACTTAAGGAGGTGGTCACCTATGGAGGTTCTACTGTAGTATGCATATTTTGTTACTAATTTCGTAAGGTATGACTTTCCAAGTTTTCTGTAGCACTGCAATTGTTGGATGGGCCTCTTCATTTCAAATTCTAATTTTGCAAATAGTTTTTATTGTACATATTTTAAGATGTACAGCATGATGTTTTGATATACATATGCTAGTGAAATAATTACTACAGTTAAACAAATTAATATTGTCAGCCTTTTTTCTGGGGGGAGGGGAGCAGGTACTTTTTGCAATGATTTCTTCAAAATGGTGATTGTTTTCTTTTAGCATTATGACGTCCAACATAATGGTTGCTTTTTCTGTGAGATATTCTCTTTTACTTTGGCATTAAGGATATAGTACCATGAATTTCTTTTCTTCTAAAGCAGAGCATTTTATTTTTTGTGATTGCAGATTTTATACTTCTTAAATATTGCTGATGAACCTGTTTTGGGTTATAATCCTCCAACTTCCTTTACAACTTTTCATGTTCATCTTTGGAGCTGTGCACTTGATTATAGGTAAGTTCACAAAAGGAACAAGATAAAGTTTTATTGATTCAAATATGTAGAAAGTTTTGAAAAAAATACATAGCTTAGTAGAGTTAAGATTCAAAATAAGAGAGTTTCTGATATTGTATCAAACTGATACTCTGTTCTTTTTGATATTAGGCCCCTTTATTTGCCAATCCGATCTCTTCTTACCGTTGAAACATTCAGCGTTTCTAGTAGCGTAGCCTTGGATAAATCTTCTTCTACTCTCAGGTACCTGTGTAAACTTTACTATGTACTATGCTGTTCAAAGCATACTAATTTATGTTTATGTAAACCATTTTATTTATTTATTTATTTATTTATTTAGAGATAGAGTCTCACTATGTTGCCCTGGGTAGCATGCTCTGGCGTCACAGCTCACAGCAACCTCAAACTCTTGAGCTTAAGCAGTTCTCATTCCTCAGCCTCACAAGTAGCTGGGACTACAGGCGCCCACTACAATGCCTGACTTTTTTATTGTTGTTGTTGTAATTGTCATTGTTGTTTTTAGCTGGCCTGGGCCAGGTTCAAACCCACCAGCCTAGGTGTATGTGGCCAGCGCCCTACCCACCAAGATACAGGCACCACCTTTTTTGTTGTTGTTTGTTTATTTTATTTATTTATTTTTTTAGAGACAGAGTCTCATTTTGTCTCCCTTAGTAGAGTGCCGTGGCATCACAGCTCATAGCAACCCCCAGCTCTTGGGCTTATGCTATTCTCTTGCCTCAGCCTCCTGAGTAGCTGAGACTACAGGCGCCCACCACAGTGCGTGGCTATTTTTTTGTTGCAGTTTGGCTGGGCCAGGGTCAAACCTGCCACCTCAGTATATGGAGCCAGCACCCTACTCACTGAGCCACAGACGCCGCCCTGTTTGTTTATTTTTGAGATAGAGTCTCTATTTGTTGCCCTCAGTAGAGTGCCACAGCTCACAGCAACCTCAAACTCTTAGGCTCATGTGATCCTCTTGCCTCAGCCTCCCAAGTAGCTGAGACTACATGTGGGCTTCTGCCACAATGTCTGGTTATTTTTAGAGATGGGTTCTTGTTCTTGTTCAGGCTAGTCTCTGACTCCTGAGCTTAGGCAGTCCACCTGCCTTGGCCTCCCTGAGTGCTAGGCCTTAGTTTGCTTTTTAAAACATGTAATAAACTTCACATAATATTTGGTGGACTGTATCTTTTAAGAACATTTATACCTTGTGAATTTGAGCATCTATTTAAAAATCTGCCCCAAATTTAGAATTAATTTGAACAGATGATTTAATCTCCTTCTTTACACTGTTTAAACCAGGCGTCCTCAAACTATGGCCCGCGGGCCACATGTGGTCCACCGAGGACATTTATCCGGCCCACCGGGTGTTTTTGCTGCCACTGCCTGTCCTGCTTAGCAGCCAACTCATCCTGGGGCCTGCTGTCTGGCCCTCCAGTGGTCTGAGGGACAGTGAACTGGCCCCCCGTTTAAAAAGTTTGAGGACCCCTGGTTTAAACATTCCTAGCACTCATAAGCAGTGAATTTTTTTAAAAAAAATGATAGTTATATTAGTGATTTTGATAATGTTCATACCAGGAAGAATGATATGATTAAGCGTATAGTGATTATGTGTTATAATATTCAAACTTTTAAGTTTTTCAGATGTTGGTTTTATCTTTTTTGCCTCAGAATAATCATGGATGAAGCTGCTTTACATCTGTCTGACAAATGTAACACTGTCACTGTAAATTTGAATAGAGGTAAGAGTTGAAAAACAAAATCTGGGATAGATATATGTTGCTTTATTTTTTGTGTGTGAATATTTTAAAACCTTTTAACTGTGAGATAATGCCACAGAACTAAGAATTTTAGTAAGATCCTTAAAGACTAAAGGATCTTTAAGGACACGATGATCATGTGGCATGTATTCAAAGTTTAGTTTTTCAGATATTTGTTCTTCAATTTGAAGTTGTAATGTTCTTATAAGTTAAGTGCATCAAATTAACTTATATGCTGCAAATATTTAGTAACAAAGACAAATTTTGTTTCTAACTAAAATAAAGTGAATTGTAGGATTGTTGTAGGAAGAAACTATATTTCCATTGCATTATAATACTTGTAGCACTCTGCAGTGGATTTTAGACAAAGAAAAATGCTAGTTTTATTAGGTACTGGTTAGATGAGCACTTTTCAAAAGCAGTACTCATTTTATTACTTTAAAAAATTTTAGATTATGTTCGTGTGATGGATATGGGGCTTTTGGAATTAACCATAACTGCAGTGAAGTCTGATTCTGATGGAGAACAAGTAAGTTATTAAAAGAAATGGAAATTTTTATTTGAGTCTTATTTTTGAAGATTTAAAATATTGGATTCGTGGGTGGCACCTGTGGCTCAAAGGAGTAAGGCGCTGGCCCCATATGCCAGAGGTGGTGGGTTCAACCCCAGCCCCAGCCAAAAGCTGAAAAAAAAATATTGGATTTGCCATAAAATCATTTTTTTATTCACCTAGTTTTGGTCAAAAATAAAATATTTTAAAATTAAGATTGAGTTCTTGCAAATGCATTTTTTCCTATGGCAAAACAAATTATTAATATTATATTTAATTTAAATGTATGCAAGAAAAGTTTTCTTCTCTTATTTAGAAGACCTTTTCATTCTTTCTTTCTGTGTTTGATACAGACCGAGCCCCGCTTTGAGTTACATTGTTCCAGTGATATTGTCCATATCAGAACGTGCTCAGATTCTTGTGCTGCACTAATGAATCTCATTCAGTACATTGCAAGCTATGGTGACCTGCATGGACCTGACAAGGCAGAAATGAAGCCAGGAGCCCCTCAAAGAAAGTCAAAGGTACAGTCAACAATATTATTCCCCCAGTCACTGCCAGCCATGTCAATGGCATGTTTATATTAGGTCTTTGATAGTTATAAAGTAGAAAAGAAACTTGAAAACTCATCTGTCTTTCCTTTGCCTTCAGAACAGTGGGGTCTGGAAAGGTGATTCCATGGGCATTTTTGGAAAACCATTATACTCTTTGATGTTTGTAACATTAATCTTCTTAACTAATGTAATACTAACATTAATCTTATTAACTAATGTAATACTTTTTCCCCAGAATTAAGTTATTTTCATCTGTCTTTGGGGAAGAAAGAAAACATTTGTCATGAAAAAGCTTGTTGGCTCAGTGCCTGTGGTTCAAGTGGCTAAGGCGCCAGCCACATATACCTGAGCTGAGAGGTTCGAATCCAGCCCAGGCCTGCCAAAAACAACAATGATGGCTGCAACCAAAAAATAGCCAGGCATGTGGTGGGTGCCTGTAGTCCCAGCTACTTGGGAGGCGAAGGTAGAAGAATCACTTGAGCCCAAGAGTTGGAGGTTGCTGTGAGCTGTGATGCTACGGCACTCTACCCAGGGTGACAGCTTTAGGCTCTGCCTCAAAAAAAAAAAAGAAAGAGTTTGTTAAATGCAAGTTGTATGTAAAAATGCTATAAGAAGGCCAGGCGTGGTGGTTCATGCCTGTAATCCTAGCTTTGGGGGACAGAGCTGGGAGGATAGCCTGAGGCCAGGAGTTTGAGATACCCCTGAGTGAGACTTATCTCTAAAATAAGAAAATTAGCTGGGCATTATGATGCTAATGCTACTCAGGAGGCTGAGGTAGGAAGATCACTGAAGTTTGAGGATACTGTGAGCTAGGCTGACACCGCAGCACTCTAGTCTGAGCCATAGAGTCAGACTATATCTTAAAATAACCCCCAGGGTGGTGCCTGTGGTTCATTGAGTAGGGTGCTGGCCCCATATACCAAGGGTGGCAGATTTGAACCCGGCCAAACTACAACAACAACAACAACATAGCCGGATATTGTGGCAGGCACCTGTAGTCCCAGCTACACCAGAGGCTGAGGCAAGAGAATCACCTAAGCCCAAGAGCTGGAGGTTGCTGTGAGCTGCGATGCTACAGCACTCTACTGAGGGTGACAAACTGAGACTCTGTCTCTTAAAAAAAAAAACAAACCCAAAGCTATGATAAGATAGATAGTAGGTGCTAGTATTGTTACCAGAGACTGTTTATATAATCATGACTTACCTATTTGTTATCTCTAAGACTATCCAGTTTTCATTATACTTTCTCATCTATGATTTTCTTTCTTTTTTTTTTTTTTTCAGTTTTTGGCCAGCGCTGGGTTTGAACCTGCCACCTCTGGCATATGGGGCCGGCGCCTTACTTTTTTGAGCCATAGACACTGCCCATCTATGATTTTCTTTTCCTTTCTTTTCTCTACCCAGTGAGGTAGAAAGGTTAAAGTTCAGTATTTCTGTTTTACCAGCTAAGTTAAGACCCAGGGAATTTAGGTGATTGCTCTAAATAGTAGCAGAAACAGCAACACACCCAGGTACTTTGGTTCCCAATTGGATGCTTTCTATGCCTCCATTGTCTCCCTTTTAACCTCCTTTGGGTCCAGATTCAACAATATCTATTTTGTTTAGCACTTTTACCCAATGTTACTCTTTTTCCTGGCTTTTCTGTGAGTAGAATTCTCAATCTGTTTAGGTTATAGGACCTCTATTTACTCTCACAGACCTATTGAGGATGGTTTTATACTTCATTTGTGTTACACTTCTGTTTACTCCTGCTACATTATCACTGATATGAAGGGGATTGATTTTATTTTTTTATTATTTTTTTGAGACAGAGTTTCATTTTGTTGCCCTTGGTAGAGTGCCATGATATCATAGCTCACAACAGCCTCTGACTCTTGGGCTCAAGCGATTTTTTGGCCTCAGCCTCCAGAATAGCTGGGACTACAGGCGCCCACCACAACATCCAGCTATTTTTAGAGGCCGGGTCTTGCTGTTGCTCAGGCTGATCTTGAACCTGTGAGTTCAGGCAGTCCGCCTACCTCAGCCTTCCAGAGTGCTAGGATTACATGTGCGAGCCACCAAGCCTGGCCATGAAGGGAATTTACAACAGTCCTTCCCTATTGTTTATTCTGTTTTTAAAAATATTTTCCAGACAGGGGCGGCACCTGTGGCTCAAAAGGGTGGGGCCCCGGCCCCATATGCCGGACGTGGTGGGTTCAAACCTAGCCCCAGCCAAAAAAAAAAATATTTTCCAGATCATTAAAATTTATTTTAAATTATCCATTTCAATTTGTATCCTTTCATTTTGGTCATGCTCATATTTATTTATTTATTTATTTGTCATGCTCACATTTAAAAAGCATAGTCTGGATTTAATGAGCCCACAGTTCACTAACCAAAATGGTTAAGTATCAGTGCTGGTATGAAGCCCTGTGAATCACCATTTAGTATTTCCCTTCCTGTGTATCCCTTTTACTGTCTTTAGGTGTCTAAGAAATGAACCTTTGACCCAAAGTGGCTTTGCTTCAAAGGGATAAAAGTCATTGGAACCATCAGATTTGAGTAGATCAGACTTACTTAATTATACCCTGTGCCCCAGCTTTACTGCAGTGTTTTGTAACTTCCATCTTTTTTAATGTATTGCCTTTTCAAGGTCCTAGTTTATTGTGTTGGCTTTAGGTGCTGACACATTTACTTCTATTTGTTGGTAGTTAGTAGGGTGATGATGGTGATACTAAAAACTTAAAATATAACAGCTTCTGGGCAGAATATAGAAACATAAATAGATTACTGTTTTGTTTTTGGTAGAGGGTGGTGGCATCAACAGCTCACAGCAACCTCAAACTCTTGGGCTTAAGTGATTCTCTTGCCTAAGCCTCCCAAGTGGCTGGGACTACAGGCATCTGCCACAACGTTTGGCTATTTCTAAGTTGTAGTTGTCATTGTTGTTTGGCAAGCCCGGGCTGGATTTGAATCCACCACCTCTGGTGTATGTAGCTGGTGTCCTAGCCGCTTGTGCTATAGGTGCTGAGCCAGATTACTGTTTCTTAAACTCGTGGTCTCAAGTACCTCCTGCCTTTACCTTCTAAAGTGCTAGGATTATAAGTATATGAGTCACTGTGCCCAGCCTCCTGTTTGTGATGTTTTGTTATGTAATGTATTTCTAGAATAAAATAATTGTAACTGGTTTGCTCCTGTAGAGCATTTTAGTTATTTTTAATTAGGCTTTTTTGCTGTAGGTAGATTCCAGTGGTCGACCATCCTCACGTGGTCCAGTTCTTCCTGAAGCAGATCAACAGATTTTGCGAGATCTGATGAGTGATGCTATGGAGGAGGTCGACATGCAGCAAGCCACTTCGACTGTGAAACCACAGGCTAATGGTGAGACCAGGACTTTTTCTCTGAGAACACTGATGCTGTGATTGAAGCTTAATATTATTTATATTCTTATAAATTTAATAAGTTACTTATTGACATGAGGCGTACAGAGCAAGTGGAAGACAAAATTACATTTTCTGAGCGCTTATGCTCTAGTAAGACCAGTGGGCACTAGACTGATTCTAGTATGCAGACTGATTAATAAATGGTATAAGTCAGGGGTCCTCAAACTTTTTAAACAGGGGGCCAGTTCACTGTCCCTCAGACCATTGGAGGGCCGGACTGTGGGCCCCGGGACGAGTGGGCTGCTAAGCAGGACAGGCAGCTGTGGCAAAAACACCCGGTGGGCTGGATAAATGTCCTAGGCAGGCCACATGTGGCCTGTAGGCCGTAGTTTGAGGATGCCTGGTATAAGTAAATACTTCAGATGTGGTATATACTTTATATTGCTCGGAAAGAATTGAAATCATTTCATTAAACTTTGGTGAAAGTGAGTGAGTTGACTTTTCAGAAGTGAATAGGATTTAGGTATTTAAAGAGGAAGGAGAAGGTAATCTTGGCAAGGTCCTTAACATCGACAGAGCACAGACAAAGGCGTGCAAGAACCTTAATTATTTAGCCATGACTTTTAGGCTGTTAATGGAACAAAAGTTCCCTTCTTATTGAAATGAATTAGATAATAAATTGGGGTAGGCAGAGAGACACCAAGTGATTAGAGATCCTTGAAAGCCAAGTATAAGCATCTAAATATTTTGAAGGATCTATTTCAAAAGTATCCTTTCTAATTGGATGGACCTAGCTATTTCTGTATACAGGGTAGCCATAAAGTTTGTGTGCAGTTTCAAATTGCACACTATTTTAAATTGCATATGAACTTTTTGGCCACCCTATTTGTGAAATCTTAATTTTAAAACATTTCACAGTATCATAAAAGTTAAGCATTAAGTTTTGCTTTCATTCTAATTAAGGATGATTTAGGACTAAGGAAGAAAATTGGAACTTCTAGCTTTGTACTACATTATCTGTAATAAGCATTAGAAGCTATTACATATCTTAATTACATAGGAAAGAATATTTAATGAATGCTTACTGAGTGGCTTCGTTAAATAACTTTCTGTTCTAGGCTCTGGACACTTATAAGGATGAGTAAGTCTAGGTGCTGCCATAGAAGAATTTAAAATCTAGCCTGTGAGTCTCTTGAGGCTAAAATATTGCTTTTTTCATCATAGTGTTCTCAGCCCCATCATAGTGCTTGGTATGAAGGAATGAATGAAGGAAGAATTAGTGCCTTTAATGTGTAACATAAAAGTAAAAGTGTAGTTCATATATAGATTTTGGTGCACACGCATTCTTTTGTGAACCTTACATAGCTGCGGGAGTACAGGAATCCAGTGCCCCAAGTAGTAGTCTTCTGAAGTTACTGAAGTTTGTTCAGCAACTATTTCCCCTCTTCACAGCAGAGATTTCCTGTAGTTTAGGGTACAGCTGTGTTAAATGTAACTTTTCCCCTCCGATTGCAATACTTCCCAGGAGAGAGTTTTTTCCAGAGCTCCACCCATAGGACAGAATTTTCAATGTGAAGTCCCAACTGAAGCAGAATTCCAGTCAGCACTAACAAGCTGCTGCTGAATTCCTGAGCTTCTCCTACACCAGATAAGTAGGAGGGAACTGTCTTTAGTTTATACATTATTGTTTACTATTTTCTTAGAGAGCTCCAGATTTATTACTAGTCTTTTTTTATTAGTGGCTTTTAGTGTGTTTCTGCCTCTTGCTGAAGTGTTTTGGGGTAAGTTACTTAAGTTCCCTTTAAGTCTCGAATTTGTAAGTTTATCTTAAGAAACAAGATATTGCAGGTGAAAGCACTCAACATAACATATATATGAGCATGATTTAAAAACTTAGTGTTATTGTTATGGAATTTCAAAGTGTGCCAAAGTGTTGTAATCTTTTTATTAGGTGTTTTGGATGAGAAATCTGAAGTTCAGGAGCCATGTTGTTCAGACCTCTTCCTGTTTCCGGATGAGAGTGGGAATGTGTCCCAGGAGCCTGGCCCCACTCACCATGCAGTCATTCACCACTTGATTAGTGATGCAATGACAGGTGTGCCCACTGAAAATGATGACTTTTGCATTCTTTTTGCACCAAAAGCAACCGTCCAGGTAATAAATCGGTAACATTATTGAGTCCTTAAGATGATGTTACAAGTTGAATTGACCGAAGGGTACATGAAGAAGATTCTTTAGGTTTTATCTCTTTATAATTAGGAATTACTCTGTTTTATAATTTACAATTGATGCTTTGTAAGTGGTTAGTGTACTTACTATTTCTGTGACACATCTCTACATTTTGTACATAGATTATTGAGCTAAAGATGTACCTACTACACAGAGTTGCTAGTCCAAGAACTGGGAAAGATAAGATGTGGTTTGTGTGAAGGGTGATGGTTGGGGGTGGGGGTGTGTGTGTGTGTGTGTGTGTGTATCTATATAATGTTTTGAACTGTCCAGTAGTTAATAACTGTTCCATAGATGACTGTATTTGTTTACTAATTCGGGGAACCTTCTGATTAAATTAAAAATAAAAAGCATCAAACTCAGGATAAATATATTATTTAAAACATGATAATTTGGTCAGTATGTTGAAGTTTGTCAAGTTTTGGTTTGGAATAAGGTATTGGCTTTAAACAATAAAATGCACATACACACACATCTGTGCCTTTTTATTATCAAACAAGTAGTAAAAGCCAAATTAAAAACTACAGAAAAAATCTATATTGAGTGATTTGTATAGAACAAAAAGAGAGTTCATTTTATGGTTAATAGAGCAGTGTATCTTTTGTGATGATTAATGTCAATAATTACTACCCCTTGAGATGTACAGATAATCATTTGTTTCTCATGAGATAAGAGTATGTGTTACCCGTTTATTGTAGGAGAAGGAAGAAGAACCAGTTATAAAAATCATGGTTGATGATGCAATTGTGATAAGAGACAATTATTTTAGTCTGCCCGTTAAGAAGACAGATACGAGCAAAGCCCCGTTACACTTTCCCATTCCTGTGATTCGATATGTTGTTAAGGAAGTCTCTCTTGTTTGGCATCTTTATGGAGGAAAGGATTTTGGAACAGTCCCTCCTACTTCTCCAGCTAAAAGTTATATGTAAGTTAATTTCTATGTAAATTGGCAGGCCAAAATAGCTTTTTATAGAAAAATACATAGAATTTGTCATTTTAAATGTTATAAATAAAGTAGTGATAGAAACTCTGATTTAAATGTCACTCTTATGGACTTATTTGTGTTGCTTGAATTTTTACTAAAATGTTGACGTACCATTTTCATTTAGCAAAAATTTTCAGCTATGTACTAAAGACTAAGACCCAGTCCGTGCCCTCAGTTCCAAAGGGAGAGGTGGTCACACAGCAGATGAGGGTAGTGAAGTGAAGTGAGTGTGTTAGGAGTGTGCAGCAGGGCGCTGAGCAGAGGAACTCTTCTGACTTTAATTCTTTTCTGTACTACCTGAGATTTCTAGTACTGCTTCTCTGACCATAAAGGATTTTGGAAGTAACAAGAAACTTCTAATGAGGTCTCATTTCTATCCTGTAATATGGGTTATAGTTAGTTTTTTCTGTAGTTCTGAGTATTTAGCAATCAGATGATTACTCTAATGATAGTAATAAAGTACGTTTTCAGTATCTTCAAAGTATAAAAGATATGCTTTAAAAAAAAGATATGCTTTTGATTCATAGTAATAACAATTCATGACAACATTCTGATAGTTTTATAATCTTATTTCTCTTTTCATCTTATTTTCTTAATGTTATTCATTGACTTTCTTTGAATGTTCCTTTAACAAAAGGTTTTTTTTTGCTTATTTTTAGTAGTACCCACAGTTCACCTTCTCACACACCCACAAGACATGGACGTAATACGGTATGTGGGGGAAAAGGAAGGAACCATGACTTTTTAATGGAAATACAATTAAGCAAGGTGAGATGATGTTTTGAAAGGAAAAATCCATTTGAGTAGGAGCATTGGTGGGGGTGGGGATCTTTGGTTACCCCCTACAGCATGGTCTTGAGCCTTAAGTCCCAACCCTTTGGATTAGAAAAACACAAAACTCTTAACTTTTTCTTTCTCACATGTTCTGAGAAGACGGAGGTGTTTCTGTTTTTGTTTTCCCAGGTTACCCCAAGAGCAGTGGTTTCCTAGAGTGAGCTCAGAATCCCCTATGGGGTTTATTAAAACGTTCTCCCTCTACTCTCCCTCTGTACCCCCAGTTTCTGATTGAGAAGGTTTGAGTTGGGGCCAGGAATTTGTGTTTTTAGGTAAAGCTGATACTACTTTTCCCAGGACACTTGGGGAACCACTGTCTTAGTGTGCCTGCCTGGGAAGGGCTGCATTTGGATAGTGCATGTGGCAGGTCCTTCACAAATGTCCAGAAGCCAGGAAGGCCAGTCCACTGATGGCATCATGTGTGTTTAATTCTGTCAGCTTGTCTGAGGTTGTACCAAATGTCATATTTTAAGATAGCATAGAAATATTATAGTGATGAGAATTTTATATATTTAATCAGATCTTTGTCTCTTTTTAGAACTTGAACCCTGCTTCCTTGGATTCATTTTCTTTTCTTTTCTTTTTTTTTTTTTTTTTACTAATCAGCTTTCCTTATAATTTGTGTATTTATTTATTTATTTATTTATTTTTAGATACAGAGTCTCACTTTTTCCTCCTCTGTAGAGTGCGATTAGCATCATAGCTCACAGCAAGCTCCAACTCTTGGGCTTAGGCGATTCTCTTGCCTCAGCCTCCCAAGTAGTTGGGACTACAGGTGCCTGCCATAATGCCTGGCTATTTTTTTGTTGCAGTTTGGCCGGGGTTGGGTTTGAACCCACCACCCTCTGTATATGGGGCCGGTGCCCTACTCACTGAGCCACAGGTGCCACCCCTTGGATTCATTTTCAAGTGATTTTTTTTAATCTCTTATTTCTCTTGAGGACTTTCCTTAAGAAGGAAAAGTACTTTTACCAAGGTCAAATGTTAGTCAAGCTCATCTGTGAATAGATAGTAGGGTACACGTACAGTAGTCCCCCCTTATCCATGGAGAATATGTTTTAAGATCCAGCCAATGCCTGAAATTTCAGATAGTGTGGAACCCTATATGTGCTATAATTTTTCCTATCCATGCACATCTACAGTAAAGTTTATGAGTTAGACAACAATAAGAGAGTAACAATAATAATAAAATAAAACAGATACAATAACATTCCAATGAAAGTTGTGTGAATGTGATCTCTCTCTCAAAATAGTATATTTTTGGAGTTTTGTTAACTGTGTTTCAGTTACTGAAACAATAAGAGCAAAACCTCAGATGAGGGTGACCACTGTGGACTGATAAATAAACGCGTGAAGAAATGTTGTGTTGTTTTGTTGTTTGGAAGTGAAATTGTAAGCCAAGGTAGAATTCAAAGAAAATAATGAGTGATATTTTGCGTTTTAAAGTGGAAATCTAATTTAAAAGTAAGGATTACTCTGTGTTCCTTCTCTTTATGTATAAAGGTAAAGTTTCAGCATGAAGTCTACCCCCCATGCAAACCAGAATTTGATTCCAGCCTCTTGGAACACCCAGTCTCCCGGCAGGTATTCATTGTTCAGGATCTGGAAATTCGAGATCGTCTGGCAACATCACAGATGAATAAATTTTTGTACCTGTATTGCAGTAAAGAAATGCCTCGAAAAGCTCATTCCAACATGGTAAAATTTCAAACCGTATTTATTGTTATATTAGTTTTAGAAAGTGTTTTTATTATATCTACCTGCAGGAGAATTAGAGTGGGGAAATTTACTGAACATTTTTTTTTCATTTTAATATAAAAAATCCTTTTAAATATGCTGCTCAAAGTTTTATGTTGAAAAAATTAGTTCTCATGCCACTTCTAGGGTCCATTAACTATAACTGCCAATAAATCAGAAGTCCATAGAGACCTATGCAAAATATTTAGTATTGGAGAAAGTATTCCAATTTTTACCACTTTTTAAATTTTACTGAGGTTGAAGGACTTTGGAGGTTTTTCTTGAAGATGACTTTGGGATGTGGACATAAGCATTAGCTTCAGGGGCTAAGCAAACTCCTTTGTGCCTACAAGTACATTATCCATTTGAAATTTTTCTCTAAAGAGAATCTATATCTTTCATCAGATTCTTGAAGGGGATATAAGACCCAAAAAAGTTAGATTCAGGCTTTTAAGGATAAGAGGGTAAACAATTCTGTGTTTTTTTCCTCATAGGCTAGGCATATTCTTTTTTTTTCTTTGTTATTTTTTTCTCATTTTTAATGAGAACAAGGTCATTATATTATTGGGAAAAAAATACATTTCTATTTATTGTCTTAAAGTTGTCAGTGAAAGCCTTACACGTGCGTCCAGAGTCTGGCAGGTCACCCCAGGAGTGCTGCTTGAGAGTGTCACTGATGCCGCTCCGCCTCAACATTGACCAGGTTTGTATGCTCCACTCAGAGTAAGGGAGTTATTATAATGTTCATTACTGTTGGACCTTTATGGAAGTTATATCGTTAAATCAGGCTTCTAATAAAGAACAGGCCAAATTCATTAGAAGTTTAGAATCTGAACTCTGGGTGAGTGAACCTTTTTTTTTTTAATTGTGTGTTTTAAAAACTTTTATGTATGTTACATTTCACCCACACACATACACACTCACACATGGGAGTTAATATCTATACTACAGATACAATTGATAGAGGCAGAAATTAGTACAGCCAGGTAAAGGGTAGGATTGCTCAAATTCATAGTCACATGGCTCTCTAAGGGGAGCTGAAGGTCAATGGTTTTTTTTTTTTTTTTTATCCTTCAAAAAAAAATGTAGTAGACTTGGGGGTACATGTTGGATTCCATTACATGTGTATACTAGGTAGTGGTGAAGCCTGGGTTTTTGTACCTATCACCCAAATAGTATATAGTATACTCCACAGTATACATTGTACCCCTATTCTAGCAAGCATCCCATCAGATTATTCTGGGCTTTCTTTGACCCAAAGAACTGTTTAACAGGGGTCCTCAAACTTTTTAAACAGGGGGCCAGTTCACTGTCCCCCAGACCGTTGGAGGGCTGGACTTCAGGCTCCGGGATGAGTCGGCTGCTAAGCAGGACAGGCAGCGGCAGCAAAAACACCTGGCCGGCCGGGTAAATGTCCTCGGTGGGCCACATGTGGCCCACAGGCCGTAGTTTGAGGACGCCTGGTTTAAAACTTAGTTGATGCCACTTTCAGAAACTTTATTTGAGATATAAAAAAAAAATATGCTTTATGGTAGTATGTATATAGTGTATTGGCAAAGAACATGGATTTGAAGCAGATCTGGGCTCCAGTCTTGGTTCTGTAACTTTTATTAGTTTTGTACTTTTTGGTTTGTTTGTTTTTTCTAGACAGAGTCTCACTCTTTTGCCTGGGCTAGAGTGCCGTGGTTTCAAACTAGCTCATAGCAATCTCGAACTCCTGGCTCAAGCAATCCTCCTGGCTCAGTATCCCAAATAGCTGGGATTACAGGTGCATTAGTGCACCCAGTTAAATTTTGTTTTTCTTTCTTTTTGTTTTAATATTTTTTATTTTTAAAGTAGAGACAGGGTCTTGCTTTGCTCACACTTACTGGTCTTGAACTCCTGAGCTCAGGCAATCCTCCCGTCTTGGCCTTCTAGAGTGCTAGGATTATAGGCATCAGCCACTATGCCTAGTCTCCAATTTTCTTTAGTAGACTTTTTTCTTTAATATTTGATATAATTTATTATTCGGCATTATGATTTTAAAATGGGAAAATACTAATCTTGGAGAAAACAGAAATAAATTTTATGACAACATTGAGGAACTATGGGAAATAATTCCCTAGACATAAAACCTAGGAAAACAAAGTCACTCTGCAAACAAGTAAGCTTCAGTGAGGTATATTACCTAACCAAAAATCCTTTATAGTTTGCATCTTCTAAGATTGATATACTGTATTTTAATATAGTAAATGATCATCTGAGTAGAAACCCAAATATTTTTGTCTGTTTTTTGTTGCGAAAATAAATCAACCAATGAATAATCACTAAGAAATATTTTTCTTTTTTTTTTTTTTTTTTTTT